GTTGCTTACCATTTTTTAGCACAGGTAAATCATAAACGAGCACCTGAAAAAATTTATAAAAATACGTGGCATAACGGCATAAATTATATCGCGCAGATATAACTATACATATATAGGTGGTATCGTTCATCAGTTTATCGCCTATATATACCTATTATATTGTACGGTCATACGAGGTCATAAGAATACACTACGAAAGTAATCGCTTGTATGTTTGTACTATATGTAAATATACATAATATATTATAACATATTTTATACTACTTAAATGTGTACATGGTATAAATCTGATATACATGTACATAACAATGCCTATATGATCTTATGTATATAATAACGGTAGACTTTGTGCTGGCGGCACGCGAGTGTGTGTGCCTATCCCAATATCGTTATAAGGTCCATCGAACGCAAAACGGTCGCATCGCATAATTTAATATAATATATTATATATACCACGTATTACTGTATTTCACGCTATTCCGCCATACGGTCACGATTTATACAATTTATTATTGTGTATACATCGTATATATATGCATATGGGTAATTATACACGTACCTATACTATATATATATATATATATATGTACACACGGATTATATGGGGTAAAGCATGTCCGGGAAAATACTGTTGAGTATATTAATATATAGGTACTATATAGCAGCGTTTCTCAACTTGTGGTACGCGGAATCCTCTCTGATGGTATCCTAAGAAAATCTCCTTTTATGAAAAAAATAAAATGGAACATAAATATTAAATACATAGGTAATTAATAGTTATTCATATTTCGATGTTAACAATAATATACCTTTTGTACATAATATCTTATTTCCTTTTTATGCGTTAAATTCTCGTGATATTATCATCATTTTGTAGTTCCTAATAAATTGAAATTCTACACGTCGTGTACATTTTTTATACATGCAAAACAAACGTAATTTGGTCGTGTAGTATATGAAAATGTTCAAACCTTATAATTGGTACGCGGATTAACGCTGCTAATAATAGTTATACTAAATTGAAATATTTAAGCTACCCACATTGATTGACGTTCGTTACTTGTACACATGAAATGGCTGAAATCCCCTTATACCTCAACACATAATAATATTAAGTAATTGTTGGTATTATTATAATATTATGTTAACGGAACCACGAGACCTTGGAGATTTGAACGATTGTCAACTTCCGACATAGTTTTTTATACTCGTATACCAGTATACGATTCTATTATCGTTTCCCGAGTAGGTTCCCTATATAGTACCGTTAGATTGTATTATAAAACGATGACAATTTTATTTATTTTTTAATATTGTATTAATATTAACACACTAATGTAATGAATCTCTTTTGAAAAATTAGCCTCTTTAAGAATTATGTAGTTAGTTTGTATAGTTTCAACATACGTGGTTTGTTATTTTTCAAATCATTTCTGAAATTATTCATTATAGTATTGATTTGAGTAAGTTGTATCGTTGTTTTCTATTCAATTTAGTTGATGTTTTTGAAATTTGTTTCCTATAAGAACAGACTTTAGTCTAGGAATTATAAAAAAATCACACGAAGCAATCCAATTTCAGGTTTTAAGAACCACTTATCAATCTAAATCTCATGAAATAAAAGAAAGGAATGCGTAGCCGTATTGTGCGCCTAATAAATAATATTATTTGTTTATACATATGTATTTATTACATAAAATATCATCCTCATTATTTTTTTGGTCATCAAATAAATCATTTGATTTCCATACTATTGAACACACCTCATGTGTACATACATTTATATAATATATATTTTATATATTATTTATATATATATATATATATATCAGAATATAAGAAAGAGTTCTAGTCTTGTACATTTGTCGTGTCTTATGCAGTAAAAACTAAAAAGGTCATTCGCCCAAATATAATTGTCTCCAAACGAAGCGTATAAAAATAGCTCATAGTGTAAAAATAATTCTATTTTTTATTATACCTGTCACAGTGATAGTGTAATTCGTTCCGCTTATCCTTATATTTATTAGTTTAATATCCACATTATAGAGTATAGGCTTTTGGATCACGAGATTGTTATTCTATCATACGCATGACCGATATATGGTCAACACGCTGGTCAATTTGTATACAACTTTTATGTATCTATTATGTTATAAGCAAATTGTAAATTTATAACGATAAAAAATAGGTTAAAATCCACACTATAAAAATAATGATACATTTATGTGACCATCTTGCACCTATACCTGTAAAATCGTGTTTAAAAAAAAAAATTGAAGTGTCTGTTGAAAATTTATTTAACACCTACATATATGTTATAATTTGTTTTCACACAATTTAGATTTTAGATCTTAGGTTGCATAATTTACGTAAATAAAATAAAATTATATAAGTAATGAAAAAAGTGTCAGTTAAAAAAACTTTATTAGGAAGACCAAGGACCGGATGGATGGATGTTGAAGAGTTCCAATACGTCAAAAATATTAAAAAAAGACTAGATTTTTGACGATCCGACGATCCATATGATGGGAAAAGTTGAGACGTTTTTTATGGCCATGGCCATTGCAACGATGGCCCTTAAAATGAGTTGAGAAAAAAGCATAGTCGACTCATATACAGTGTATTATGGCGAAGTGCAAAAGTGAAAAGGTTGATAAAATATTTTGAAAATTGTGAAAATTAAAAAACTTGTCGGTGACAGTTAATAATAAGTACTTACCTATTATAATTGTGTGTGTACAAAAGTTTACTATGCAATAATGAATTCATAAATTATTATTCATTAGTAATTAGTTTAATAGTGTTATTGATTTTTTTGTTGTGTTTAAAAATTGTAAAATGTACTACTTATAGATGCATTTATAGGTCAAGATTAAATAATGGAGATAAATATAAATGTATATATGTAGTAATGTGGTAAATAATATAAACATATGTGTTAATAAAATGAAAATGAAGCTTGATGATGGAGATAGCTATTGTGAGTACCTATATAAATGTGTGTAAAAGTATCTTCAAGTAGAAAATGAATTTGCTTAGTAGAACGGTAATTTTAAGTCACTAAACTGTAACTAAATTTTAAAAATGTTTGTTTATATTAAAATTGGAGCGAATTATCCAAGTAATATCTCGTAAACTCGAACGACTAAAATGGTATACAAGTTTAATATACCTACAAAATATTTAAATAAACTACTCGGATAACCTTTAAATTATATTGATAAAAGTAATATTATTTAGCAGTTTATGAGTTTCTTGCAGGTTTCACGATTAAAATTTGCATCCAATACACGCACAGAAAAATCCATCGAAGAAGAATCGTATAATATGCTCTAAAATTTGCATAAATTGTTAACTAAGAAATGCATAATATTATATGAATGGAAGGCAAATATGAAAAAAGTGTTTATACTTGATATGACGTAAAATAAATTACCATGAATTCATTAATAAATGTTAATAATATTTTAGTCCGTTAGTCTAATTATACAAAGAGTAAAATTATATATTTTTTTATGATAAACACATAATGTTTATACGTGAGTACTTTAATAGTGAGTAGGTATATGTTGACTCAGATTGGCCATTGATGAAATACGAATGGAATGTACTGGATGCAGACTTCGTATGATCAGACTTGGGATTCGATAATTGGTTGTAATTATTTGTTGTAAGCACTTATTAATGTAGACAATATATGTATGTATAGTATAGTCAAGTAAGGTTTTTCATATTTTCTACAAAATTTAATTTTTGAATCTGTGTTTTTTTTTTATTACTTACAGTGTTTATCGCAATTACACAAACTTGGCTGTATAAAAACTTAGCGATATTAAGTAAATAATTAATCATCTAACTGGTCAAATTGGTGGAGTGTATAAGTAACTGCAAGTGACATGAAACTGTCCCCCCTAGTCAGCTTATTGATTACCCGTGTTTATGGTTTACGGAGTGATTATTTCATCGTGAGCTATTGGTAATATCTTCGAAAATACTTCAAAGAGTTTTTAATTATTTTTTTAGCTGCTTGAAAATTTGTTAGAAATCATAATAAGTATAGGTAATATTATAATCCTATATTTTGTTTTATTTTTATATAGGTAGGTACCAATTTGTTCTTAAAATTTAAGTGCTCCTCGCCATTTATCAATGTTTATTCTTTTCTCAGATGTTGCTTGTTCTCTCGCGGCACACTATTTCAAATAGTCACTCTATACATAATGTAACACGTGATATTATGTAATATGCTCATTGGCAGTGGACTCACCGAAGTCCTGTGCGTTGGGTAGAACGGTTGATAGTACGGCTGGTACATTTGACCGGCGGCCATCATGGGATACGGGCCCGGGTAGGACTGTTGTGGGACGTTAGATATCCTCGGCAGGTACATGTCGTTGGCCGCGTTTGGTGGGTAAAATAGAGCGTTTGTCATGTATGACGGCTGTTGGTCCAAGAACGCCGATGACGATCCCGACGTCCACGGTTTGATGTACTGTTGCTGTGGTTGCTGTGGTAGCTGTGGTTGCGGTTGGAGATGCGAAGCCGATGCTGCAGATGCCGACTGCGAGTATGAATTATGAGAAGACTGTTGCTGCTAAAAAAAACACCGTGCTAGATGTATGAGAAATATAAATATATATAAAATGTATGTAATCTACATTATAGTATGATATTAATATATATGTATATATAGCGACCACATAAAATACGGTACATATCGGTATACGCGTGGTAATACAAATATACAGTTCTATAAAATAGTGGACCGTAATAGACACGATCTATATAATATAATATACGATAATGATGGTTGTAAAACCGTTTTATTTTATTTCTTGGTGTGATGCATGCGTGTGTATTTCGTGTGGTTAAGAGGACGTAACACTCGCATTTATTATCGTCTACGTCTTACGAGTGCGTAACGTACCAAGTTTTCCCTCAGAAGATCACGTGTAGCTTCGTTAGTTTAAACATTTGAATGAAAATCGACCTCTTATGGAACTTGATGGTATATGAATAACATTATTTGTTTTGGTATATGTGGATTTTTTACGATATAGTTGAGTTTTAAAGTGAGTTATGAATATTCTAATAATTTATGGTATTGTGTGGTGGGAAGGAAACCATATGCATACTAAACTGTGCTTAAAGCCAAATTTTAAAAGTTTTCGTTTGATATTATACACCACCGCGTATACCGACAATATTCGCACGAATATCTTCGATAAACGGCATGCATTGTTGCAGTTTTCGCAAAATTGCATAAAAAACTCAACAACTTCCGAGCGGTAGATTAGTCAGTCAGGTGTACATTTTATTTTTACCTCTTAGGTACGTTACGAGTGATATAATACTACTTGTTATAAATTACTAGCTGTAGAACCTGACTTTTCTCTTGAAAAAACGTAAAATGTGGTGTATCTTGGTTTTAGTCTTTAGTGTACGCCATCAGTGCTCGGAAAATTAGCGTCGGTGTATATCCCTCTGTGATTTGACAGAGATGTGAGAAATCCATACGAGTCGAAAAAACAAAATTCTATCGCGGGTCATAAGCTGCACCTTACACCTATATACATATACAGTGCCGTACACAGAGGAGAGGCTAACGGGCTGAAATCTCCCCCCCCCCCTTGACCATATGTTGTTTATTATTATTTGTTTTTATATTTACCCATAATTTAATATAGTATCTTCAATTGTGTTTACCCAATTATTACAACCATTATAGTCTATAAATATATATAGGTATAACTACTATATAATATATGTAAGAAAGTATCTACGTACTTTGCACCTTATCTTGAGACAACTTAGAGATTTTTTTATTTTCAAGCCCCCCACCAATATTGAAAAATCCCTCGTACGCCACTGCCTATATAGTTTGAATGTGCAGGCGTTGTCGCATAATAAACATCACCAACGAGTCATTCTAAACACGACCGCGGTTCGCTCAGGTAAATCGTCTTGCAGATCGATGCGAAAAGGAAACGCGAGTCCTGTGTTATCGTCATGGGACCCTGGTACGAATCGTTCGGTGTCGCTGAGGTGACACATACTGTATACGGAAATATTATTAGTTTCCGTCGTGGAAGCGTGCGCCCGGACACGCTCATGCGCGGGATAAAGATGGCGACGACGACGACGCCACCAGCGGCAGGCATGGGCAGCAGGACGCTTACGGTTGCATAAACATTGTATGAATATATTTTAATATTATATAACCGACGAGCAATCATAATGTATATACGGTGAATAGGAAAGAGAATTATGTAGTTACGAAATATTTATGATTGACAGTTTCAGGTTCATATTATATTATTATATACCTACCTACTAACCAAACTCTTCACGCTCGGCTTTTCGATACTGATATCAATGCGAATCATCAGACCGTTGTAAGCAGTCTAATTTTCCAAAAATATTATCGTGATTCTTATCGATTTTTTTTAGAAAAGTAATAACATTGTTATCTTAACGCTACTGAATTAGGTTTGCGTGATGAAAATCAAAAGCCAGAAGCAAAACTAAAAATGAACAAAACGAAATTCGACATCTGTATAACGTCTATTTCTCATTTGACTGCGTGGAYTGGTGAAATCTTGTACACACGCATTCGAATAATTATTTTCATTTAAAATTATTTCGTAGTATTTAATGTAAAACATTAAAATAAATTATAATATTATTCATAATATTAACTTGGGATATTTTTGTTTGTATTCTTTCCTTTTACACAGTAATAATTGTAATTTAATTGTAATTTTCCACTTGTATATTATTCGACAAGCATATTATACGTTACAATATATTTTATTGTATATAATAAATTTATGATATGCTGTCTCTAGTACTGGAAGGTCTATAAATAAATTAAAAAAAGCAGGAAAGTGGGTATCGCTCTGCTGTACATTAGGTGGTGGGGTGGACCTCTGACTAGGGTAGGTTAGATTTGAATGCAATGATAGGTATCATTGTATACGAAAAACGATTCTAAACGGAG